GTGTTAATATCAGTAATGATGTTTAATGTTAAATGTCAGTGGCTGAAGAAAATTAGAAAACAGGAATCAAGAAACAGGTTTCTCAGGTGACTAAATATGCTGGCAACTTTGCAGTGGTTTCTTATCAAACATGATATTTACATAATTGGGATTGCTGGACTGTGAAGTATTTTAAATGGTCAAAAAGGGGGAATGCTTTACATTTATATCTTAAGGGCGGTCATGAAAGAAAAACTGTGCTGAGATAAGCACAAAAAGAAAATGAAAGTTAAGAAAATCTGAAGCTAAAGGACTGAATCGTGGCTCCGCCTTCCTTAGGCTGAAGCGAAGTCTCATGAATTATCATGAGAACGCTATGGCGGAGAACCACAATTTAAAAATAGTACACTGTGAAATTAACTCAATCCATAGATGCGTGGTATCTCAAAGGAAGACAGGGAAGATGAGAAAGGTTTGAGGGGGGAAAAATCCCTCTGATTAATGCAGCATTGGCAAGTTGCCATAGCGCTGTCAAAAAGGACAACAAATACACCACAATGGTGGATGTCTGCTGCAGCTCTTTGTCATAAATAACATCACAAATGCACAGAGACTCATGTGCGCGAGTCATGGGATGAATTCCAAATCAGAGAAATTAAACCCAGCCACAAGCATGCTTATCATCGGCCTGTCTGCCTTTTGATGCTGGTGAGATAAATATCTTAGTAGTGTCATGAACTTCCAAGGCGGTTGCAACAGACAGAAACAAACAACGGAAACTTTAAATCTCATCATATTAGCTGCTGTTTTGTATTCTTATAATCCTCTTTGTATTGAAATGAGTTCTGATGATTTTTAGATATAGCCATGGTAGAGATGAAGGCACCTTGGGAGCTAAAGACTTAAGATATCTATAAACTGCTAATGAATGCGTTGTAAGTTACCTCACCAGAAGTTATACTGATCAATCTGCAGATGATCCAGCACACTTCCACCTCAGCCAACTATAGATTCTTACATTTTTTTGGTGGTTCTTCTATTATAAGTTGTCTATGGTGAACAACAGGCATTCTTCCAAAAAGGCTGATACATATGGATTGGCAGCCAGAAAACATATCATAAATCATAAATATCAGGGGACACAAAAGGAACAAGGGCTCAAAGTTGAAAATGGAACACTGACTTCCGTTAACCAAACTACTGTAACAGATCTTCTTTGATTCAGTTGCAGTACTTTGGGTTTGTGACTCAAAGATTAGTCTCTGAACTAAACATGTAGACGATTGAGAACATTCCAAAAATGTGGAGATAAAAAATGAACTTAAAATTACTTTTTCTAAATGTAATTGCTTAAACACATGTGACAATATATTAATAGAACCCAGATATAGACGAACAAATTATACAGCCTCTGAAGCAGCAATGCAATTACAATTTCAAACAAATTGGCAGTGACCAATCATATCGCCTGACTATCTGGGGCAGAGTGGTAGTTTTTCAAACAAGGGAAAAAAGAACTGAAATGAACAGAACAGAAGTATGAGTAATTGTTTCCGGTACAGAGTGTGTGGATATAAACTGTGTGTGTATACATGTGTACTTAGCATAATTCAAATTATTCTTTTTCAGACTGCTCCTTTATCTTCTGTCTGAGTGCATAGCAAGAGCAGTCGTAATCAACTGAAGACATGTTGTTACTTATTTAAGAAACTTCATTAGCTATTCTTCTACTCACTGTTATCCTGTGACCAGAGTCTTCCTTGACACATGCATTTTTAGGCTTGGAATTGAAGCAATAAAGGTCTCTACTTGTCAGATTTTGAATCAGGCTCATGGGGACCTTCCGGGGTTTGTTCTCCATTAAAAATAGTCCTCTTACAGCGCAGTACATCGCTTTGTTAGACTCGAATACATCCTTAATCATACTCAAGTACAGTATGCTTCTCTTTATTCCAAGGTCGGATCGAAAAAATCTAATTTCCACCCAAGGCAAAGGCGCTCATTGCCAATGCTTTAATTGCATCAGAAATAGACCAGGTACTCCACAGCAAACATGGAAGGAATTATCAGCAGAAGGAACCGGCATATTAAAACTTGTCTTTTCCTCTGGGAGGATACGCCTGGATAGACGCAGCCCCAAGTCCTGATGAAAGCAAATGGACTTCTGGAAGACCTAGGGCAATGTGTGGAAGTGTGTGTGTGAGGTTTTTGTTTTTTTGTTTGTTGGGTAGGGGGGTTATATAACATATTTAGTTACATCCCATTGAATAAAACGGATACCAACTCAGTGACTGGTGTATGGTTTTGCAAACACCCACCAAACCAAGCTTAACCTTAAAAGAAACATTACAATGTTCTCAAAGAAAATGTGACCAATGCTTAGCCAACAGGCCCTAGCAATGATGAAATCAAGGCAGTGGGGTGGCCTGGATACGCTGCAGCCATAGAATTGGACCCCCCCCCCCCGATGCATTAGGCTGTGCTGCTCAGCTCCTCTCCCCTGCAGACAGTGATGGATCCGATTCATTCCAATGGTGGCCTCCAGTGCTCACTCCCATTCTGCTGGGTGACAGTGGCAAACTGGCGCTGGCTCCCCACATATCTGCCCAGCCGACACAGGAGAAGGGGGGGGGGGAGAAATTGCCGGGAGCCTATGTCGATTTAACTTTTCTTATTTCAGGGTTGCAACTGATCCTAAATTCGACATTTACCTTCTCATCTTTTCTCCACTATGAGTACATTAAAATCTCCTCAAGTGTTTTAATGGCACCTATTCAAACCATTAGGCCTTGAGAAAACACTGCATCTTCAGCTCCTTACAGTGTTAATGGGAGTGTGATTTATGGAATCTAAAATGCACTGTTACATCTCAATCTCCTGCTATCTCATGGCAACTGATGTTGAAGTAAATGTCAAGTTATTAACATTGTTTCCATAAATGGATCAAAAATGTTTAACCTGAAAATATAATTCTTCCACATACAAACTGTTGGTGTAATAATGACAGTAAAACATTTTAAGTTTCTGAAAAAGGGTTTGTGTGTGACCTTAACTGTCTGCTCACTGTCAGTGTGTCTACCTGTCTGCCTGCTGGTGAGGGATTAGGAGGACAGGAGAGTGACTGGACCGAAGTGATAGAACTCACTGAACCTTAGGGCTGAGCTCCCCCGCAGGGACATCTGTCCTCTCCTCCAGATTGGACAAGGTAGGGTCGAAGCTGTGTAGACTGAAACCAGCTCTGTGTTTATATGTCTGTCTTTTTAGATCCGTACATTTTAATGGTTGTAAAATGCATTTATAATAAATTGTATGTATTATAATTAAAAGGTGAACAGTAGAAGTATGAGGGTACATGGTAATCTTACCCTGAAGGGGACGTCATATCTAATTTGCAGCTAAAGTTAGGGCAGAGTTAAGTATTTTGTGAGACGATCCAGTGTTAGTTTTTCTTGCTTCAACAAAGTTAAATGAATGACACAGTAGAGTTTTTTTCCATGCAGTGCTATTGTTTCTTCTGAGACCGGACAGAACAATTGGAAATGAGGGTTCATGACGAGAGGATTTAACTTTGTGATGGTGGAAAACATAGCATGGTGAACAGCTCATAGGGTAATGCATTTTGCTGAGGAATGTTTTGTTTTTCACAGAATAACCACAAATCCCATTAAACCTGCTGCTTTCTTTTTAAGATAAATAGCAGTTACCTTCACTGGTAGTGCACTGCATGCCTTTGTTTTGACAAAAAAGAAGAGGAATAAAATAAGGTCCTGTTTTTGTGCAATAAAGCAATCCAGCAGATGTAGGCAGAGATCCCTCTTAAAAATTAAGAGGGATGAATCAAGAGGCAAATCTGTTATAGTAAACGTAATGCAGCAATGTATGAGTAATACCTGTGATAATTCAACTCCACTCCCTGGCTGTATTTATCCAATGTTCTACCTGTTAACTATGGAGCACCACATGTTGGGGGGTAAGGGAGGTGATAACGGACATTAAAACACAAAGAAAAACAAGCGCACAGAGCGTCGGGGGGGTGCTCTGTAGTGAGACACAGAACACTCGAAGGCTTGCAGAGAGGGTGAAGGGCAGAAAAGGGGGGGAATGGGGCTCTGTGTGGTACTCCAAACTGACACACAGCCACGGGACACAGGCTCCAATTAGAGTCACTGCAACACTAATCAAACCTGATCTACAACCTCTGGCTGCAGGGTGACTGATCGTGTGTGCGTGTGTGTGCGTGCGTGCGTGCGAGTTGTATTCAAACATGTATCCCCAACACTGAAATAAACCGTGCTTAGTGTTTCATATTTAGTTAAATCAGGTTTGCATTCATTTAGGTTTTCAGTCCAGTATGTGTAAGAGTGTAGTTATAGAAAGGTAGGCTGGGATTAGCTCAATGTCACAATGGGCATTTCATGAAGTCGAAATCCCCTCACCTCAATATTCTTCACTGTTGCCTTGTGACAAAAATCCACCAAGCTGCAATGCATATTCCGTTATCTGTCTATCCTACAGTGTTATTCCGCAGGCCTGTCAATCATAACCCAGTGAAGTGCTTCTTAGATATCATATCAAGGCCCACCGTGGGAAAAAAAAAGTCACATAGAATGGGGGGAAATTTGAGACGGTATCACCTATCTCACACAGGAAATGGGACTGTTTGAAGATTTGCATGATGGTGTGGTCGCTTCCTAAAGGTCCTCCTCAAGCTATCTCAAAGGCACAATAACCTATAGCCAATGGCAATGTAGATGATAGCTACTCTCGTTTAGCAGTGCTGTTGAAATGTGCAGTCTTCTTCATTTAACAGGATTTGAATTGGATCATGCATGTGTGTTTGTTGAGTTTTGATATACATTTTGTATCTTGTGATGTGCACACATGAGGGAACCGAAATGTATGCTTCTTTGAGAAAAGATAGCTCGTTCTAAATAGAATATTAGAATAAAGTAATCACAATCTGACTCCCTGTGATGCCTCTGAGCGTATTATTGTGACTCCTCCCTGAGAGTTACCCTTACCTCATTGTTTTTGGACACATGCCGGGCCACGATGAGCTGAATCATCCCTCGTATGTTGCCCTCAACAGACATGGATGTGCGCAGGGTTTCCATGGCGTCCTGGTTGGTCATACCATGCAGCGACTCCCCATTGATTGCAATGAGCTGGTCATTGACTCGTAGACGGCCATCCTGCAAATCACAAAAAAGTTGGATCTGAGTCATAAAGTTCTTGCATTAACATCTTCTAAATAATGACTGTTTGTATTGATCATTGGAACAATTTGAACAAGAACTACATGTACATTTGGCAGCTGGGATAACATATACACCTTCTCCTAAAAAATCCCAATAAATACAGGAGTATGATCACTCATTTCCCTATTTGTGTCTTATTGGAAACATTTTGAATGTGTACATTATATGACAAACAATTCAAAACTATGACAACTCAAATTGAAAAGTGTATGGGTATAATACAATATATTATTCTTCAGGATAAGAAAATTCACAATATAGTAGTTAAGCCACTTAAACAGTGGGCTCCATGGAACTTGGTAGTCTACCTTATCCTTGTACTTATATGTAAGTAGGTCCTTAAGTTACACTAAATGCAATGAAGGCAATTAATAAAGTGATGGTCGAATTGTAAGTGAGTGGGAGTAATGTAAATGGATGGGAGTGGTGACTTGCCTTGCTAGCAGCACCTCCATTAATTATGGATTTAACAAAGATGCCCAAGTCAGCGTGGTTCTCCTTGGACCGGTTCCCCTTGACGCTGACCCCCAGGCCTGCTGAGCCAGAGTCACTTAGAGGGATCTCAAAGGTCATGAACTCCTGTGTACCATCAGGGGTTAACACGATGTCCTCCTCTTCTGCCTGCTGTGGTTATTATTAAAGAGGGAGAGCGAGAAAGAGAGAACAATAAATAATTTGTTATGGCTTTGGAACATTAAAGAACAAACAGTGGCAATGTAGTTGCTACATTGCCACTGTTGGATTCAAATATATGTGTGAAGTATACAACTCCAAATGTAACTTTGGTAAAATACTGAAAAACTAAGTTAAAAAATATATGTAAGAGAGAAAAAATGAACAGAAAATCAAATAACAGGGATGGTGAATGACAAGAAAATGAAAAAGCAGGCGGGAGACAAGATAAAGAGGAGAAAGATGAGGGGGGGCAGGAGAAGAAAGCAAATGGATGGCAAGCATGTCACAAACCTCAGGGCTGTCAGCGTCAATTGGCCGTACTGTCTAGCCGAGCGCTGCTAATTCCTTTCTACCGTCATGAGCTCAGTGTAGGAGCAGTGGGGACAGCGAATAACTTTGAAAGCGCCAGGTAGCAATTTGGTGCTCAAAAAAACACTGGGTTCCTTTGAACAACACCCCTTTGAAGGATAATTTGTGACACGTTAAGAACCCGACCCTCCTTCCCTGAGCGATCCATGGGCCTTTTGTTGAAAATTACCATAGTAGCATTTTGTTGCAAGGCCTGTACTGCACATTTTCATGCCTGGTACACACACAACAAATGGTTCATTTCAGCTGCCAGAGAGGTGTGAGATAGAGTGTTGCGAGTCTAGCACCCAGCATGATCAATTCAGCTGGAAAACAGTCCATCAAACAACCACCACAGTCTGTTCTGATAACAATGAGCATATGCAGCTAAACAAAAGTGGAGAATAGGTGTGAGAGACCTGAGGTATAAAATAAATGGTATTTCCGTTTGTTGACTTCAGTAAAACCTAATCAAGATGTTAAAATGTTTTAAAATTATTTTTGTTCAATTACTTTTGAGCCATGGTCGACATGCCTTGGCTGAGTCAATGTTTTAAAACCAAAAGTGTGTAGAATGAGTGGTTACTTTCCCTACAGATGTTCCTATACATGCCTGCTCAAAAGTAAGATTGAGATCTGTAACACTGTGATTGGCCAGATTGTACAGTACATGTGTAGTTCTTGCCAAGGCAGCCAAATACACATGAACAATGCTGGCGGTGAGCGCAATCAACCCCAGGAACCAACCGCAAGAACCCTTTAAACACACTCACATCGATACATGTGGGCACACACACACACAGCCAGATGGATGGCAGCCAGGTGTGTGCCCTTCACAGCTGCTCGGATAAAGAGTAAAGCAGAGGAAAGAAAGGGAAAGATAGAGCATAGGGTGTTTCTCTTTTTTTTTTCGGACACTGAGGAGTTATTAGGATGCAGCGGTGCGTTCAGGTGGAGGCTCTTTTCAACACCCTCTGACTGAGCCCCTATTCTCCAGACAGCCCTGCTGCCTGCCCCCTTTTCTCCTGCTTTTCTTCTCCAGCTTTCAAAATAGCAGTACACCTGTCAGTACAACCTGTCAACTGGGCTTTGTCCGTGACTGGACCCACAGTCAATTCCGCCCGCTGGAATCCATTTAATCTCGCTGCATTTCAACACTTCCGTTTCTATTACAGAAATCACCGGCTCTTGTCAGGAAATGACCCTTTGCTTCCCCTCAGACGGCTGAATGAAGCAGATAGGGCATAAGTGCAGGTGTAAATATAATGCATCAGCAATACTTAACTTCTCATTCTTGTTTTTAGCATGCTTGAATTTTCGCTCCAAAAAGCAGTGATAGTCGTTATATTGAAGTAACTTTAACCAAACTTGTGGAATCAGTTGGTTACCAATGCAGGCCCATAGCAACGCAGCACAAACAGACTGTACAATTTCCATTTTGAAAAGAACGCTTGTGCATGAATGGCCATGTGCGTCATTGGCAGGGTCAGTCTTTATCTTTAATGAAGATGTTTTATCAAAAGAAAATAAATAAATAGTGGCGACATAAGAGTTATGTCCCTGGAGAGGCTTTTAGCCCAGCATTTGAACATAGTAATACATTGGATGAAAACAAATACTTTGGATGGACCCTGTCAGAGCATCTGTGTGTGTGTGTGTGTGTGTGTGTGTGTGTGTGTGTGTGTGTGTGTGTGTGTGTGTGTGTGTGTGTGTGTGTGTGTGTGTGTGTGTGTGTGTGTGTGTGTGTGTGTGTGTGTGTGTGTGTGTGTGTGTGTGTGTGTGCTCTCCTCCAAAATGATGACAGAATAACCACCCACTCAGAGCTGTGTTCCGGGAATAGCGGGCCGAGGCAGAGAATGAGAGAGCAGTGTAACATTTTCATCAGACAGGAACAAGCGCCGCTAGCCAAGAACGAGTTTGTCAGGCAGCTTGACAGGCCTCGTTGCGCCGACTCAGCTCAGGCAAAGCTGGATTTAACTATCTCTGAACAGGAGAGAAAGTCACCTCATTGTTCCAAGCTCAGCCCCGTGTATGCACCTGGGACAGAGGGAACAAAAGTACCGACAATAGATGAACTGATGTAAAAGCACTGGAACGGTTGCATGCATAAATCAAAAAAGCACCAGGATTCTTTTATTGATTTGAAATATGTCTGTTATCAGTGAAAAGGTCAAATACAGACCTATACATTTTTCTCCAGAGGAAGCTGCACTTACTAATGATGGTTGAATGTCTCAAACGTCCCCTCTCCTACTTGCTGCAAAGTCATGAACAAACTACATCTGACTTTGAAGACATGTGTCCTTGAGTTCACAAGAGATTTCTGATATTTGATTGTCCCCTGTCAAATATCCAGCTCACATATCGCTTTTCCCTTCATAAAGTAACGCTGTGTTCGTCGGCATCATTTAGGTTTATTTGCGGTATTCACGCCATGAAGGTGGAAGGGATTACTTTAATTGAGATACTAACGAATCTGTTTCATCAACAATGGATCAAATGAGCTACAGTTGCAAGAAAAAGTATGTGAACCCTTTGGATTCTCCACACATAGCGTTGTGTGTTCCTTCCAAACAACTCAACTTTGGTTTCATCTGTCCACAGAATATGTTGCCAGTAGTGCTGTGGAACATCCAGGTGCTCTTTTGCAAACTTCAAACGTGCAGCAATGTTTTTTCTGGACAGCAGTGGCTTCCTCCGTGGTGTCCTCCCATGAACTCCATTCTTGTTCAGTGTTTTACGTATCATAGATTCGTCAACAGAGATGTTAGCATGTGCCAGAGATTTATTTAAAGGCCCTGTCACACTGTCCCGAAATTGACGCCCGATGGACACACGAATATGGAATTGTGAATTTCGCACGAAGATGGCCCCGAACCACACACGAAGGCAACATTTACATTACATTTAAGACATACAACTGCAATGAAAGTACCAAAAACAATTATGTTACAATACTATGATACTGTACTGATATCTTCAGACTTTGTTCTTTACTTTATCCGTCGTTATATGTAGAAAATATTACGTTTTCTCTGTAATGTTGTTTCCATAACAACAACAACTTCCTGTCAACTGTCCTTCAAAATAATATATTATATCCTTTTTAGTTTCACAGAACACAAATTGGGTTATTTACATAATATATTTACATGATTTTGTTGTGCAATAAAACAACCCGATGGACACACGATAAAGGAAATGTTCAAATTCGGCTGTGATCGTAGCAACATCGGGCCATTCGTGAGGGCATCTAAAGCCATCGTATGACCGCCGGTGGAGTTTCTCAGGCTCCGGCAGCAACTTCGTGAGCGGTGGCAAAATCTTTGGCATGCCAAAAAATTGCCGAAGGACCTTGCGAAGGTTCATTTTCGTGTTGAATTTGTGTGTCAATTGTGCCCTTCGTAAGGCCATCGTGAGGGCATCTTGTTATCATCGGTGCCATCGGGCATTTGCCCGGATCAGAGTGAGGGTGAATGCACCGATGATAACACGAAGATGACACGATTTGACAAGATGCCCTCACGATGCCTTACGAAGTTGCCGCTCACGAAGTTGCTGCCGGAGCCTGAGAAACTCCACCGACGGTCATACGATGGCTTAAGATGCCCTCACGAATGGCCCGATGTTGCTACGATCACAGCCGAATTTGAACATTTCCTTTATCGTGTGTCCATCGGGTGTCAATTTCGGGACAGTGTGACAGGGCCTTTAGTCTCTAGCTGACACTCTAGGATTCTTCTTCACCTCATTGAGCATTCTGCGCTGTGCTCTTGCAGTCATCTTTACAGGACGGCCACTCCTAGGGAGAGTAGCAACAGTGCTGAACTTTCTCCATTTATAGACAGTTTGTCTTACCTTGGACTGATGAACATCAAGGCTTTTAGAGATACTTTTGTAACCCTCTCCAGCTTTATGCAAGTCAACAATTCTTAATCGTAGGTCTTCTGAGAGCTCTTTAGTGCGAGGCATGGTTCACATCTGGCAATGCTTCTTAAGAATAGCAAATTCAAAACTGGTGTGTATTTTTTATAGGGCAGGGCAGCTTTAACCAACACCTCCAATCTCGTCTCATTGGTTGGACTCCAGGTTGGCTGACTCCTGACTCCAATTAGCTCTTGAAGAAGTCTTTAGCCTAGGGGTTCACATACTTTTTCCACCCTGCACTGTGAATGTTTACATGGTGTGTTCAATAAAAACATGAAAACATATAATTGTTTTTGTGGTATTAGTTTAAGCAGACTGTGTTTGTCTATTGTTGTGACTTAGATGAAGATCAGAACACATTTTATGACCAATTTATGCAGAAATCCAGGTAATTCCAAAGGGTTCACATACTTTTTCTTGCAACTGTATAATGCTGCAAACCAAACGTTAACCATCCTGTTTTTTGCAGTTAAGTGTCTCTGAAGTCTTATATTTGCTGTCATGGTCGAACCCCAATATATATTGTTGGTTAAAACTACGGTGCATAAAAGGTCCATGCTGTACCCAGGTACTATTCATTAAGGTCAAATATAATGTGAAACCATCTTAGGTAGTCAAGAGTGGTTATAATATAATTATTCATATTATCTGAATAACTCAAGTGACCACTCAAG